ATTCTGGACTATATTTATAGTTTGAACTTTATTAAATGTTTATGAAATTCTTTTAGCATGAGAGGTACTATGCAGTAGCTAACCTTGTTAGCACAAGATTTACTTTAATTCATCTGTTGCAAAAGCAGCAGTGACAAAACAGTATTTAATACTGAATATAACGGCAGCATTTAAATATACATGCACGTCATATGGGGTACACTTAGGTCATGAGACATAGCAAATTTATTAATGTTTGCAACCATCAAACTTCCACATCTACTTTTCACACAGATATCTGTATCCATCCACCTCAAAACTGTTCAGTTTTGCTCAAGCCCTTATATGTCTTTTGATATTTTGTCACCTGTAAACATTGCTCTTCATTCAAATTTTCTGGATGTGCAGAAGTCTCTGACTTCTGTCTGAGAGGAAAAGTGTTACCTAGATTGTGAATATGTTACATATTCTTTCTGTGAGTGTACATGAGTCACCTATCTGCTGTTTGTTTGGAAATATATGGAATTAAAAATATGATGACTTCTTAGCAGAGGTGAAAAATGTCCAATATTTTCCGAATAACTTGAATTTTGCATTTGGTTCATGCAATTGCAATATATTCATGGGATAAGTTCAGTGTTTCTTGAAAGCTTTGGGAATGGTTCCAGGTTCTTTTCCATGTTCATGTGCTTTACATAGCTCTATGGTCACTTAAAGAGCTTGGGTGCAACATATAGCAACCCTGTCCTATCCTCACTTTCATCAAGTTGTAGAATAACCAGGAAACCATACTGTTAATCCATGCAATGGTTCAACAGAAATATTTATTTAACAATTCATGGTGGCATTAATAATTTATTATTTCTGCTATGATTTATTCATATGCTATTATGCTTCTTTGTTTCTAGGTCTTTGGTTTTTACTGCATGTTCATTTACATTCTTTAACAAATTTAGAATGAAAATGCTTTAGAACAAAATTTATGGATCTACATGTGATAACAGTATGGGTCTCTCAGAGTGTCTTGAAACTGCAGTTTGAATAGTAGAATCATAGAGTGATAGAATGGTGTAGGTTGGAAGAGACCTTAAAGATTATCTCAATCTCCCTGCCATGAGCAGGACTACCTTCAACTACTCCAGGTTGCTCAGGCCCCATCCAGCCTGGCCTTGAATACACACAGGGATGAGACAAACACAACTTCTCTGAGCAGCCTGTTCCAGTGACTCACCACCCTCACAGTAAAGAATACTTCCTAACATCTAATCTAAACCTGTTTTCTGTCACTTTAAAACTATTGTCTCCCTTGTCCTCTTGTAAAAAGATTCTCTCTGACTTCCTTGTAGGCCCTCTTTAGATACAGGAAGGTGCTATAAGTTCTCTTACAACCTTTTCTTCTCCAGGCTGAGCTGTCTTCATAAGAGAGGTTCTCCAGCCCCCTCATCTTTGGCATCCTCTGGACTTGGTCCAACAGGACCTTGCCCACCTCGTGCAGGGGTCCCCACAGCTGGATGCAACAATCTAGGTGGGGTCTCATGAGAGTGGAGTAGAGGGGGAAAATCACTTCTCTTGACCTGCTAGTCGCATTTCTTTTGGTGCAGGAGAAGAGGATAAATATTTGTGTGAATTAATTTTAAAAACTAAAAAGAAACAACTAAATTTAGAGGAGAATTATGGGAGCTCATTGCTGGCGCAAAGGAGCTTTTATGAAAGTTTTCTGCTCATCATCCTTTAGGATACTTCCAGTTGTAAATATTCTCTTTACTCCACTGAAATTAGAGAGATTAAACAACAGCTTGCCTAAGATCACTGAGAAACTCAGTAACAAACACCAGAGTAAAATTCCCAGGTCATCCAACACCTTGTATAACATTTTGCCTACATATTCTATTTTATAAATGAACCTGTACAGGGAAGAAGGGTCAAATAGTGTTTCGGCATGTGATGCTCCAAAGCTTATAGCAAGAGTCCCCTACACATTTTAATTATCACCTAATATTGCTTGTAAAGCATGCCAGTTATAAATACATTCCTGCTTTCTCCAGGAAAGCCAGAGGAGGTGGCATTTAATCAAGTTTGAATGCTCCTAATTTTTCTTAAGAGAAACCAATTGCAGCTGGTAGGACTTTTTCTGCTTATCATTATAATCTTCTTTTTAGTAAGATTCAAGGAAGCTTGGCTTTTTCATCATATCTTTTTCATCACCAAGGTTTAAAGATGGTTTAACAGTGTAATACTTCAGTCTTGTCCTAATCACATTTTGTACTCTTTTAAAAAAAGTTTCATTACCTAAGCTACCTCTTTTACAATCCAAAGTATGAGCTTTACTATCCAGAAGAGATAATACATTTTCTTTTTACTAACAGTGAATTTGATGATATCTGTTTTAAGTAAGTGAAATAATTAAGGTCTTCTGAATGAATTTCTAAGTAGACTGAAGTCTTCCATCTAGCCAAGATGGCCAAAATTGGCCATCAGTACCAAAACTTTGCAAGCATGTTATGTTACACAATAAGAAAAAGAAGAAATCCATTTCATATTCAATGAGTTTTTATTGAAACTGCCAACATAACACTATACAATGTTTTGTCTTTTTTGTGTGTGTGCAACTGTGATTTTTTAATTTGAGAAGTGAAGCCACATTTTTCTCAAGATACAAAAAGCAAAGTAATTATATGAGTGCTTGTTTTCACTTCTCATAGCATGGGAGTATGCAATGCAGAAATGTAAAGTTCTATATAACGTTATGACTATGAAACTCACAGCTATAAGTTCAGCCTCTCCTGTGTTATTTGTCTAAGAAACTATTGCCAAAAAAAGTTGGATGCATTTCTGGTATGATCACTTTTATACTCCTATTCCCTCATTTAGTCCAATTGTTTGGATTTTTAAACTCCAGTTTTGCCTAACTGAGTTTAAACCAATTTAGGAATAAATGTAACTAAAATTAGATTTGGAGTCAGATTTCAGGGGAATTAGTCTAATTTACATTATGCTTTGCTCTCAAATGAAGCAGAGTGTCCAGAATTTTCAAGCAACAGAAAGAAATATGTGAAGTAAGCTTTATTGTCTTTGTTGCCTAATCCATTTTCTTCATTGTCTGAAAATCCAGCAGAACAGTGCTATAAATTTTATAAATAGCAGTTCATGTGTCACATATATTCACTGTTCTCAAATACTAAGAAAACCTTCTTGTCAACTCATCAGGTGTGAGACTAAAAATATTAAGACTGCTTAAGAGACTAAGCAATGCCTCAACTTGCTGTCAGCTAATGTGTTTAGTGCATAAAAAAATAGCCAGCACCATTAGTTAAATGCAACTCTTAGTTAGAATACAAAAAATTTATGAACAGCCTCTACCTCAGCACAGTGCTCAGCAGAGTGCTTGGTGGCTGCTTGAGGCTACCACATATTCTTTTGGATGACTTAATGATTTCTTTCTTCAAGTTCAAAGAAGAGTGGTTATTAACCCTCATGTTCTCACAACCTTTTCAGAGTAGAATTTGGCTGAATAAGATTAGTGTCACTTATATTACTAAGGATCTAAGATTTACACAACTATTTCTGTTGGAAATTTAAACAGAAAAGAGTGTGCTGACCCTTAGAATTTTCTATTATGTTTGAGGAGCATTGATTCCCTCAGTCTTGAACAAGCTGAAATCTCAAGTCCCAGAATACTAACTGTAAAAAGAAAGCAAATAAAAGCAGACAATAGCACTGATAAGGTATATCCCCTTCCAGTCATAATTTCATTTGAGTAGAATTATTCACTTTAATAGCTTTTGAAATAACTTATTTTTTAAACAGAATTTTTTTTTAAATAGCAGGAGACTAAGGAATAAGCAGAAGTAACTGGTGGAAAAAGGGTGTAAGGTTTCATGAGCATGAATATTGCCCAACTGATTAATAACTGAAGGTTGTCACCATCTGATGTTTGTTCACTGGTCTGTGTAAAATGAAATGGTGTTCTGAGTCCCATAGGATTTAGAAATCATTTGCAGCACGGAAGGCAATAATTAGCATCATTGCTGACAATCCCAAACACTGAATAAAGACAAAATATAATTTACCTTTTTATCCGTAAAGGTTTTGTTCCTTCATGTCAGAATCCAGTCAGACTGAAAGAGCAGCCAAAGGAAATTTGTTTTATCTGATGCTCACACAATGCTTGCTCTTTGCAACAAAGCAAACGTTTCAGCTTCCAGAGGCAGCAAATTAAGAAGTGCTTACAAATATAATCCTTCCAAATAAAATAGAAATCCAACTTAGAAACACCAGCAGATAGCAAATCCATAATTTTAAAGGGATAATAAGCTTTAGGCATTGACAAAAGTAGAAGTGGAGCAATAGGCAATACTCCTGTGGCATCCTTTGTCATACCTTTGGCTGAACTAGACCTAGCCTGTGTAATTTGTCTGTGCATGAAGATTTTTACCACCACAGAATTAAGAGTGTAGATATATGTCAAGGATGATAACAGATCTTTCTCTGATTTTTTTTTTTTTTTTTTTTTTTTTTTTTTTTTTTTTTTTTTTTTTTTTTTTTTTTTTTTTTTTTTTTTTTTTTTTTTTTTTTTTTGCTTGCGTACACTTTCTAATGAGAGTAAACTCTTTTGTAGGGAATGTGAGCCAATGATAATAGGTTTGCTTTGGGATAAAAACACTACATCACTGCAAGAGAAGTAATTCACTGGCCCTGAGTAGGCTAGCAATATTATCATGTGGTGGATAAATTAATTTCATGGCATGCTTAATAATGCAGATTTTATGGATATAAGATATGCTTTTAATGTTTGCTACAGGGGACAAGAATCAACCTACTGTGCAAAATTGTCAATGAGTTTATTGGACTTGGCAGACACCACAAATTTCACAGAAATCTAGTTTGTCAAAACACTAAGTAATTGAAGCTCAATCCTCAAAACTACAATGAAGTACTTTTTGTCCTGTATTTGCTATGTTTACTGGAAGTTGGAGTAGATACACTGTCTGATTATTGATGTGGTATATTTCTTATTCTAGGTTCTATCCTTAGGGGCTGATGTTCTACCAGAATATAAACTGCAGACACCTCGCATCAACAAGTTTACTATATTGCACTACAGTCCTTTCAAAGCTGTCTGGGACTGGCTCATTTTGTTGCTGGTCATATACACGGCCATATTCACCCCTTACTCTGCTGCCTTCCTTCTGAATGACAGTGAGGATCGGAAGAGAAGAGAGTGTGGATATTCCTGTAGCCCGCTGAATGTTGTAGATTTAATTGTGGATATTATGTTTATCATTGACATTCTAATAAACTTCAGAACAACATATGTAAACCAGAATGAAGAAGTGGTAAGTGATCCAGCAAAAATAGCAATTCACTACTTCAAAGGCTGGTTCCTAATTGACATGGTTGCTGCAATACCTTTTGACCTGCTGATTTTTGGCTCTGGCTCTGAAGAGGTAAGCTTAAATAAATAAAAACCTTAAATCTAATTATTACTTCACGATGATATTCTGTGTATCCTAAAGTATTTTTTGCTTGTCATTTAATAGCTGCTTAATATTTCTATTTCATCTTTGAAAGTTAAACTTAAATTAAATCTTCCTTTGTAGAATGTACAGTATTAGCTTTCATCGACAAGAGAAAATATTGAATGATTCAGCTAGTGTTTTTCAGTTATACCATATTTAATACTGTCTTTATAAATAATAAATATATTGTGTATGAAGGATTTGGTAAAATGATTTTATATAAGAACTGCTGCTTTGATTTGTTGCTTACTTTTTAAAAACTGCCCATGATGCATATAAGTGCTGTGTTGGTATTGCATCATTAAAATAATTTTTCTTTGTTCAGAATGTTTATATCAACATTTACTTAGCAGAAAAACAAATTATTTGTAGCATAGACTATACTAGTTTATCAAAGAGATTTGTCCATTTTATCAAGAATAGGGACTATCAAAAGAAGAAAAAAAAATAGATTACCTTGACAGGCATGATCTATCTACACAACAAAGTGAAAAACTGTTCAATATATGCATCCAAAACTGGCCCAAAAATATATAAAATATATGCTATATTCTGTATTCCTGACCCAGTTCTTCCAAGCAATTTTATTTAATTTAAAAAGGGATAAAATCATAATTTTTTTTTCTGAAAAATAGAGAATTGGGATTGACTTTCCTGTGGTGCATAGAATGCAGATTTTTTTTTAAAGCAGCAGACCAAGCAAAATGTAAATAAGGAGTCCAGAGAAACATGAAATAAAACAATGCACTAAAAATGAATGTTATTAAATAAAGCAATAAGAAGAGAGAGAGTAATATATAGGATAGAAGATAATTTTTTATTCAGAAGGTGACTAAAAAGCCCAGAAATTTAAGAGGAAATTTTGTATTTTGCAAATCATTATCTGTGGCAGGTGTCCATCTTTCTGCAGATAACTTTCTCTGTGGTTTTGAAAGCACAGATACATGAAAGTCCAACATTTTCATAGTGGTATTACTTCTAACTCAGACTACAACGTTCCCCTCCAGATGTGGTCTGCATCCCTTTCTGATCGCTGATCACTTGTCATTGACAAAAATTATTTTCAGTGATTATGAATGTGAAACATAAAGGATTACAACAGGGATCCATTCCAAAGTTAATTGAAGGAGTGGCACTGAACATCATTCTTCCACACCTACCCTGTTACAAATGATTTAAGAGTAAAGCACCAGGTGTTAAAGTCATGCTAAAGGGATAACTTTAACATAAGGTAACATTACAGATTACACTAACAAACAAGTGCATTCTTGCAGATGAGTAGACAAATATAAAAATGTGGAAGTTGAAACAGAAACTATTGGACCATGTAATGACTTTTTCACTATTGCAGATATAAGTAAATTGATTCTTTATTCTTTCAAAATCTAGTAATTGACCAATTTCTCTACATGGAGAAGCTGGTTTGTTTGTCTAAGCAGTAACAATGCTATATAGATTATGTTCCATTCACTGTGCCATCACAGTTTCTCTCTCTCATTCATGGTATTGAATGTCAATCATTTTTCTAAGCTGTTACTCACTGCAGTTTTCCTTCCTACATTGCTAACTCTAATATTTCACCAATGATCCCTTTTTCATTGTTTAGCAAGAAGAGGTAAATGTAAAACTGACAGAATGAAGCATTTTTCATTTAATAGAATTTTTTCAGTCATGAAAGCTATCTTTTTTGTGAAATAGCTCTTTTTTGTTATCTAGAGATTCTTCAGAGAAGATCCCCAGTGAAAAATTGTACTGAATAGTATTTTTATTAAACAATATAAGCTCTAAAGAGAGCTCCATGTGTGCTCATGCAGCTTTAAAACACCTTGATATCAAACAGAGTTTTGAAAGGGCAGGAGATAATAATCCAAATACCACATATAGCACTATCCAAATGCTTCTATTTGAGCCATACTTTTTTCAACCATAAGAAAGCAACAGAGTTAGACCGTTAACTTTCCAATTTCTAAAGTAGGGAAATAATATAATTTTAATTTTTTTTCTGTTTAATGAGACTCAAAATGATGATTTGTAGTAAATAATTATCTCCTTTTATGTGTGTGTGTGTAAGTTGGGTGGTTTCCATGATTCTTGGGAAGATAAAAATAATGAGTAGATGGAGAGGAAAGAAGAGAAAAGAAAAAAATATGATGTGATTATCCACCTACTCTTGAACTTGTAGTCCAGCAGATAGGTATGATGAAAACAGAGAAGCAAGCAATGCAGAAAAGAGAGTAGCATCTATCAGATTGCTATTTGCAGATATTAATGGTTGGCACCAGATGGGGTAACGTAACTGATAGAGTAGGACCCCTGCCTCCTTGGGTGTAGTGCTGATCGAAGTATTCCAGCACACCAACAAAATTACATTACATAAGACGTAGTTCTAAACCCAAGAACTTCTATCCCTGGCCAAGTGACACATGGGAGGTGTACCATTACTTTGTGAAGGCTACATCTATGCTGAGAAGTGGGCACCATGTAAGGCACATCAAAACTTGTGGACCATTCTCGTCACCTCTACCGCCAGCTCTGCTTTAGTGTTAAAGCTCCTTCACTGTGTTAAAGAAAATTAAAACTCAGGATGAGTTTTTTGATACTTTAAGCATATCTAGTCTCATTCATGATGATTTTACCCTTGAAGAGATTAAATTTTCTTCTGTTATATGCCTTCCACATACTCCAGAGCTCAAACTGATGTATTTAAGTATAGGATTGACACAGAATATGAATAATATTAGCAAGTTGCATCTAAAGAATGTGGTGGAACAGTGATGACTGTATATTAACAATCTACCATCTGATCTATTTAAGGGGAAGAGTTATGAATATGTCGTCTCTTGCATGATGTAGAGATATGACTACATCTGTGATAGAACATTTTAAACATCTCACTAAAAACAAATCTTAGCTTTTCTTAAGGGATCATAAATGTATAAGCCTGATCTACCTACAAAGAAAAAGTAACCTAATCACAATATCTGCATGTTTCTGAATCTCAGCCTAGGCATAGACTAGGGTTTTGAAGGGTGTGGTCTTTCATTTTGAAGGGTGTGGTCTTTCAGACTATTGAGGTCACTAACCTTCTTTATGTGGTAATGAGAAATTCACCCTGAAGTTATTATTTGGGGTGTTAAACTGAACTAAGGAGTGTTACCATACACTACCCTCTTGCTCATTTACTCAGAAAATATGAATGATTTATTGAATTGTCCACTGAGAATTGCAGCCAAGAAAGACTTGTTTTGTTCCAAGAGTTTTGGGGCTTTACTCAGAAACTTGGTAAACATGAGGTTTTAATGAAACATAAAATCTAGTCTAGTACTTTTTGAAGAAAAAAGCTTTAATGTGATGCATACTACTGTCAGAGTGGTTTGTGGGGCTTGGAAAACTTTTCCTATTAAG